TGGCTGCAACAGTGTCTTCCATCCCTTTCCAACGATGGGACTTTGACACTCCTCCTATTAAGCAATGGGGCCTGTGTTCTCTGTCCTTGAATTTGGGTGTGTTTATGATGATGGCGGAGGTGCCGCTATGTGGCTTGGGAGGCGAGGTGATACGGATTCTGCCTGGGTCTCTTGGGACACCCGCTCTGGGAACTCGTGCTATTAGGAAGCCTCCCCCACATGGCGAGCCCTGTGTAGGGGTCCTGGCTGACAGCCAGGTTCAGCCACCAGGCACCAGCATGAGTGACGAGACTCTGAGGGGACTCCATCCCCATGATCATCTAGTGGCAACCATGTGAGCTACTCTGAAAAACAGCCTCCAGCGAAAGCCCAGTCGACGCCGGAACCGTGAGAATGGTAATGAAATTATTGTTGTTGTCTTAAGCCACTAAGTTTGGGGGTGACTTGTTATACAGCAACAGATAACTTTTTTCTTCCAGTGTCCAAATAAAATCTATGGTAAGAGCTAATCGGCTGAGTCCTGACCATGCTGGATCATCACTGTGGCCCAAGGAATGGAGTTCTGTGACCTAGGTTGCCATCTGTATACTCGCCCTCTCCCCTGTTACTGACATCCGAGTTCTATTTGGGTTGACAAGGTGCACAGTCTGTCTTATAGCTAAGCATGTGGTTAAATTCTGGCCAATGAGACATAAACAGAGGTGTATGTGGTTCTTCAGGGACAGATCCTGGATTTGTTTCCTATCATCTTACCTAGTCTCCTGTTGCTGTAACAAATTATTACAGATTTAGTAGCTTAAAACAACACAGATTTATTGCCTTCCAGTTCTGGAGGTCAGAAGTCTGACCCAGATCTCACTAGGCTACAGTCAGGGTGCCAGGAGGGCTGCATTCCTTCTGGAGGCTGTAGGGGAGTCTCTCTTTCCTTGTCTTTTTCAGTTTCTGGAGGCCCTGGCTTATGACTTCTTCAAAGCCAGCAATATCACATCACTCTGACATTGACTGTTCTCCTTGCTTCTTCCACATTTAAGGACCCTTGTGATTACAGTGGGCCCAGCTAGAGAATGCAGGATCACCTCTCTATTTTAAGGTCAGCTAAATAACAACCTTACTTCCATCTGCAACCTTAATTGCCCCTTGCTGTGTAACCTAACATATTCACAGGTTCTGGGGCTCAGAACATGGACATCCTTGGGACATCATTTTTCTGCCTACTGGAGATCCTCAGATGGGAGGGGATATCGTTTTGTCCTTTCCTTCTCCTTCCCCCATCTTTGTTTTTTAAAGGCTTGTTTATTTATTTGAGAGAGAGAGAGAGCATGGGGGGGCGAGGGGCAGAGGGAGGGAGAGAATCTGAAACAGACTCCACGCTGAGCATGGAGCCCAACTCGGGGCTCGATCTCATGGCCCTGAGATCATGACCTGAGCTGAAATCAAGAGTTGGAAGCTCAACCAACTGAGCCACCCAGGTGCCCCATTCCCACTGTCTTGAATGGACTCAGATATGTCCACTTCTGGAATGAGGTTCTGTGGTTGGCAGCCTACCAGAACCACCTCTCAACAGTTGCTCAAATGGGCGAGGGAGGGGATGCTGGATGGACAAAAACGTCAAATGTCCTCTGTGAACATGTGCTACAAAAATGCTGCATAACCAACAAGCCCCAAGACTGAGGACCTTACAACAACATTTCTCATCAGTGTGTAGTAGCTCACAGGTCTTCAGTTGATGGTGGCTCTGCCAGGCTTCCCTGAGACCAACTGGACTTAACTTTAGGCTGTGGGTTAGGTTCAGGTGTGTTCTACCTGTCTCTCACATCTACCTGGGGCCGCTGCTCCTCAGGAATATTCTTCTCATGGCAGATAGCGAAGTATATGAGGGCAAATCAAGCCAAGTAAGCGCATCGACAGCTCTTCCTTGCATCATGTCTGATCAAATTTCACTGGCCAAAGCAAGTCATATGACCATACCCAGTGTCAAGGGCATGGCCCCTGAAGCCACTGGTGCCGTGTTCCCAGAACACCACAGCTTGTGGGGCGCCTGGGGGGTCAGGCGGTTAGGCGTCTGCCTTCGGCTCAGGTCATGATCCCATGGTCCTCGGATCGAGCCCCGCATCGGGCTCCTTGCTTGGCAGGGAACCTGCTTCTCCCTCTGCCTGCCGCTCCCCGTGCTTGTGCTCTCTCTCTCTCTGGCAAATAAATAAAATCTTAAAAAAAAAAAAAAAAAAAAAAAGAACACCACAGCTTGTTACTTTTGGAGAAACCAGTTCCACTACTTTATAGTGCGTGTGTGTGTTGGGGCGGGGGGGGGGGGCGCAGGTGTGTTTCCAAACCTGGCAGTCTCAGAATCACCTGAGATGCTTAAAAAAAAAAAAGAAAAAGAAAAAAGTATGGGCCATTGGGGGTCCCCGCTCCAGCCTGGGAGATGTGACCTGCTTCCCTGAGCTGCCCCTCAGAAAGACCTGCACAGTAGGCGGGGGAGTTCACAGCACCTCCTCCTAGCCCAGCGGGGCAAGGGTCACCCTTGTCATCGGACAGGGGCCCTGCAAAACTGAGTGGCAGCCGGTGGTCACGAGAGAGAATGTGACAGAAGGGGACAAGCAGGCCCTTCCTGGGCAGAGAGCCTGAGTCTTAACCCCTTCATCTGAATAATGGGTCCAGTCATTCCCATCACAGAGCATTGAGGTGTAGTACCGACTTCAAAGCACCGTGGGATTAAATTCACCAACCGAAGTAATGAACCTGAGCGGGAGGCTCACCCTGCAGGTTCTCAGCAAACGACAGCCGGTAACTGGAGGCCACGCCACTTGTGGGCAGGTGGGCCTTTCCGCTCCCGTGGTGGTTCTCTGCCATCTGCGTCCGGGGGAGAAGAACCATGGCGTAGTCCTAACACAGTCCTAGCCCACGTAACTGCAGATGGCCAGGCTGCCCCCTCTTTGTCAGGGCTTCCCTAGGCCGAGGCCCGTTCCCTGATGCTGGCCGGCAGCCGGGCGGCAATACGGTGCCTGAGCACACATCCGCCTTGCTCCGGCTTCCTTTCACGAGCTCGAGTACCGGGCAGGTTCTTCTGCCCACAGCCCTGCCAGTGTCGCCACAGGGGCTGACCATCTGCTTCTGGGCTAGGTCCTTGACTCTGACAGCCATTGCAAGGGATGTTGCCAGGGACAAGAGGTGGTAGAAAATCGGCGGGAGAAAAATTCCTGATGAAGGGTCACACACTGGGCACCCCCGCTAGGCAGGAGTTCCTCACACAATTACATTTCACACTGACCACCAGCCTCCAGGTTAAGTGAGGTAGGCCTGACCCCAGAGCCAGGTCTGTCTGGACAAGAACCATGCCCTGGACTCATTGAAGGTGGTTTTTCCTTTGGCTTACCCCTGAAGCAGCCAAAAACTGATCCAAGGAGAGAATGCAGGTATGGGTATAGTTGAGTCGCTCTGCCCCCACCTCGGGCTCAGGGATGCCTGGGAGTTCCGTGGCCTTGGCAGGCTGGGTGCCGTGGAGCTGGGTGGGGAGAGAGCAGAACAGAGAGAACGGAGGGCCTCCTGACTCATAGGCCCTCAGTCACATTAGCGCCCAGGGAAGGCTAACTCCCGTATAAATGACATGGCTGCTCAAGAAGTCACTTGACTCAGGGCGCACGTCCAGGTTTTGAACGTTGGCCCCACTGGGAGCACTCCCCCGCCCCCCATCTATACCTGAGCTTCTGGGGCTCGTTTTCCATGTGCAGGCTGGGCTAGCACGGGACAATCACCATTCTCAGAACCCACGGATGCCGTCAGGTCCACAATCTGAATGCCTCTGACCACATCTACTTTCCAGCAGCTGCCTAGCCCCTTTGTTGACAAATTCTGTGCTTTTCAGCTTCATTATCAAGACTTCTATCTGGTGCCACTTCTCACTGAAGGTATGCTGTATGCCAGGCCCTTCCTGCTGTTCCGGTTTCTCCCGTTCCAGCACAGGGCACACCTGTGAGGCTACCTGTGTGGTGCAGGCATCTGAGCCAGGGAGATGAGCGTGTGAATGCTGGCTCTTATTTGCCAGCTGAGTGGCCTTGGGCAAGTCACCGCAAATCTGATTCCTCCCTGTACTGCGGGCTGAACGAGGTCTAAGACCAGGGCAGAGGCTTCGGAGGGAACGGACTGAGGCTGTGTGTTGGGGGAGGGCGGGGGGCGCGGGTGTGCTTCCAAACCTGGCAGAGTCTCAGAATCACCTGAGATGCTTAAAAACGTATGGCTTAAAAAAAAAAAAAAGAAAAAGAAAAAAGTATGGCTGTCTGGCCTCAAGGAGCTTCTCCCTTGACCCCTTTCAGCCTCAGCATCCTCACCTGCACAATGGGAAAACCACGACCTTCCTCGCAAGACTGTGGGAGTGAGTCGGGTAGAGCATCTGGCAAGGAGGGCCTGTCGGCTGTCTTTTGCTTTCTTACTTTTCGACAACCTATAACCCCCAGGGTCAAGCTCCAGCCTTTCTTCTCTGTAACCTTAACCCTTGGCCTCCTGGGTCCTGATCTCCCTTCTTCCTGCTGAACACCCACTTCCCCACTCAGTTTTGCCTGCCCAGCTGCCCACGGGCCTGGAACTCTGGGAATACCCCGTGGCAGATGCACAGTTCATTCCTGACTGGGGCTTCTAGCCTTGCTCCTTTGCTCTGGAACCATGGACGGGAGGGACTTCAGACAAACCTCAAATACTTGTCAACCCTGCTTTACTTGGAGCTTGAGGCCAGCAATGTCTCCAGCAGAGGGTTGACAGTCCCTGAGGCCTGAGGTCTCAGCCAGCCCACCCGGTCAGTGTGGCTGGAAGGGGGAGGAAGAAGGAGGTAGGAAAGGCTATTTCTGTAACCCTTTCCCTCCCAACCAGAGGTGTGTCACCTGCTCGCATCCCACCAGAGTAGAGGAGGGTGAGCTCAAACACTTCCAGATGAAATCTTTAGAAAAAGGGTGTGAGGAGGAGTGATCGGAATGGAGTAAACTATTTCAAGAACCCAGATTACTGAAGACTTAAAGTAACAAATGTGCTTTTAATAGATCTACGGATAAAAACTACTCAGCGCAGGTCAGTAACCATGGCAGGCCCTACTCTGTTGGAACCATGCCCTGTGCGGTCTTCAGGACCTAGGCTAACAGGCTATTTGCATTATTTCATGTCATCCACAGTATTAGAAAAGAAAGGCATTAGATCGGTTTAGATGATATGCAGTGTTGGCAGCCAAATCCAGTCTGTTATATTCCATATTTTTTCTTTAGTTCTTCTACTTTGTTGATGTAAGCTTTCATGGCGTCTTCCTTGGAAGTCCCTGGAAGGAATCAACAGGATTATTTGTCAGAGAGGCAGCACGGTAGAAAAGCAGCAGACTTAAAAGCCCTATACAGTCCCAGTTTCATGTTTGGAGGCTCAGTTTCTCCCCTGTGAAGTGGGGTGTCTCTTACCTGCACCTCACAGACGTCCAGGATTCAACTTGAAATACTTAAGGAGCTGGGCCTGCAGCTGATGCTCCCGAAAGCACTGAACCCCTAATGTGCGTGCAGCTGTCCTGAGGCCCGTCATTGGCCTGCTGGCCACATGAGTCTCCCACTGTTGTGAGTGAGTGGTCAACCTGAGCCTCAAGGGCAAGGCTGGATGCTCCAGACAGGTCGGAAAGCCTAACATGGGGAGTCGCAGTGACTTTCCTGGCCCTGTTGACTCTGACTCTCATGGTTGGCTCTGACCTATCTGTTGGGCTCTTCTCTGCTGGAGAAAGCTGGCAGTGAGAAAGCAAAGCCAGGCACCCTCTTCTCCCCAGAGAGGAGCTGTGGGAAAAGTTTCGAGAACTGTGAGCAAAGGCAGCTAGCTCGTGGAGGTGAATGAGGCACATCTCTGCCCTCGTGCTGCAGTCCAAAGGACACGGACAGTGAGCTCCGGTTTCCTGGACTCTGCGGTGAGGGAGAGACGCTGGGAATCGGAGCGCCTTCTGAAACACTGCAGAGCGCCTGGACACCGGTATGCGAATGGCCAGTGACGATGGGCAGTCAGACGCGCATTCCTGTTCCAGTTTCTTGCAAATCCTAGGAGTGTATTGATTGTATCCTGGCCCTTTTTGAATCCGAGGGCTTTTCATTTGCAGGAAGACAGAGGGCTTATTCAGAAGCTAGCGAGCGAGAACACAAAAGCTGGTAGGCAGCTTCAGTGCCAACTGGCAGGTCTTGCTGCCGCAGGCGACACGTGATGAAGTCGGAGCTGGGGTACTTCTTGGCTACTGCTGTTTAGCGTGTAGTAGCTCCGTTCATGGGGAGTACTCACTCCCTTCCTTTATGTGCCTTTCTGGCTGGAAGGGAGCTGGGGAGGGCTGCTTGGGCTAGGGGATCACTGCCCGGCCTTGCAAGGAAGAGGAAGGTGCAGGCAGGAAACCACTCCTCCTTTTTTTTTAAGATTTTATTTCTTTATTTGACAGAGAGAGACACAGTGAGACAGGGAACACAAGCAGGGGGAGCGGCAGAGGGAGAAGGAGAAGCGGAGCAGGGAGCCCAATGCAGGACTTGATCCCAGGACCCTGGGATCATGACCTGAGCCAAAGGCAGACGCTTAATGACTGAGCCACCCAGGCGACCCGCAACCACTCCTTCTTGTGAACACATATAAAGCCCAGGCCAACTATTTCACACACCGCCCCCCCCACCCCCCGCCCGCCACAGTCTGTTTTTCAGTAACCGGGTCCCCAGCCCCTCCTCTCCCGACAATACCACTGCTCAGAGACAGTGCTCTTGGAGAAGGCATACATGGTATTAGGAGAAAAAGTAGGTGGTCCAGTTTTTTTCCATTTTGGCCAGGCCAGGCTGGTTTCTGGCATGTGTTCCATCCACTCTGTTTACTCTCCTTACCCCTTACACTCCATAATGAAGAGTATTTCATTACTGGGCTTCACAGACTAGGGAAACTGATTACGAACAATTACCTTTCAGATGATTCCAGGCATCCCACTTGGCCTTGCCTTTGAGATCCAACAGCCCAGGCCGTTCTGAAACAAGGAAAGAAAAAGACATTAGACCTGCTTCAAGTTCTAATGGAGAACATCATCGACTCTCTTGTCCTGAAAGCCATCTTTCATTTCATTGGTTCCTTCCAAGCTCTGTTAGGGAGTTAAATGGGTCCAGCACAGTGGGTTCTGCCTTCAGAAACCCAGATGTACAGAAATCCAAACTTAAGATTTAGAGAAAATAGGAAGAAAACTGTTCTCATTACTAGGCAGACTTTGTCTTAGAAGTTAAATTTTAACTCCAAAATTTCTCCTTTTAAAAACCATACTTAAAAAAATTTTTTTAAACAAGTACTACATCCATTCATATGGCTTAAAATTGAAATGCTGTCACGGAGAATACTATAAAGTTTCCCTCCCACCCCTGCTCTCAGTCACCCAATTTCTCTCTTTCACGTTATTATTGCTATCAGTTTTCTGGGCTCCTCTTTCTGTGAATAGTCTGTTCATATCCTTGCCCCATTTTTCTACCAAGTTGTTAGTCTAATTCTTGTTAATCTGTGGGCGTTTTGTCTCCAAAGGCAAAGCATTCTTAAAGTTACGCCATGATTTTACACCAGACCTGTCATCAGCTGCACTTGGGAAACACACTGGCTACTTCCCTGCTGACCTATTTTACTGCCACCCTGAGAACAAAGGCAAGAGGAGCAATCCCAGTGCCCATGGCCCAGACCACTGTGCCTGAGAAACCGCAAGTCTCCTCAGATGCTTTCAGAGAAGCATTTCCAGGGATGCTGGAGAGGGCGCCTACAGAATCATCATCCAGGAAGAGTGAGCACACTCCAAAAGCCCTTTTTGTGATGATGGACATGTACATTTACACTAACTCAGGGCCACTGGCCACTTGTGGCACTTGATATGTGGCTTGTGCCACTGAGGACTGAGCTCTGGATTTTAACTATTTTCAACTTAAAACTGAATGGGGCTAGTAGTGACAATCTATTGGACAATGGAGCCCTAGAATGAGCTGATGCCTCCCCAATGAGGAAGCGACAGATTTCCAAGCCAGTCTACATACTCATGTAAAAGCAGGGCAGAGGCCAGGGTCTGGGAAAATCCTGTTTGGCAGAAAAGCATCTCAGCTCCTCTGGCCAGCCCCGCTTCATCTCTCCTTTCCCTTCCTGGGAGGATATAAAGTTTATAAACCCAGCGCAGAACTCACCTTTGCCCCAAGACCTTCTCAGCAAAGCCCTTCCTGGGAACTTTGATTTGGCACTGCTCTGGGCACCATTTGCTGCTTCCCAATGGCTGGCAGCCACCCACCTGCTCCACCGCCCACCCCAAGCGCGGTGGGATTGGCCATGCTTTCCCTCCTGAACAGAGGAGGGGGTGACCTTCTTCTATGCTGCCGTGGCCACTGCACTCCGAGTCCCTGCAGAGACTGCATTGTGCTGTTGCCTCAGTACACACCTGAGTTGCAGGGACTTAGGGGCAGAATGAAAACTGTCCAAAGCAGGAAAGACTATTCAGAATATGGTAGTCTAAACTACCACCTCAAAATCTGTACTAAGATTTTCTTCTTTTTTTTTTTTTTTAAAGATTTTATTTATTTGACAGAGAGAGACACAGCAAGAAAGGGAACACAAGTAGGGGGAGTGGGAGAGGGAGAAGCAGACTCCCCACCGAGCAGGGAGCCCGATGCGGGACTCGATCCCAGGACGCTGGGATCATGACCTGAGCCGAAGGCAGACGCTTAACGACTGCGCCACCCAGGCGCCCCAAGATTTTTTTCAATAGGGAAGAAACGGTCAGCAGGAACCACTGTCAGCAAAAATGCTTCTGACCGGCCTCAGGAAGCCGGCTTCTCTGCTCCGGCTATCAGGCTTGGCCTGGCTGCCGAGTGCTCTGACTTTGATTCTGCCTGTCTGCGGTGGAAGTAGTAGGATTCAACAAAGCTGCTACTGAGCTCAGAGCTTGGACTAAGTCTCTTCCAGGCTGGGGTCTCTGCTTCCTCCCAAGTAGATGGAAAATGCTGGTGATAACCAGTAAAGTCCTTCCAAAAACTAGGATTTGAATTCTGCTACCCAAGCCACCAAGAACAGTACAGGGTCCATGAGCCTCATTCAGGAGCATGATCTTGGCACGGGGGCGGGGCGAGAACGCCATGAGCCATTACCATGTTCCACCTGAAGAGTAGGGCTTTGGGTGGTTTTGAGTGTGCAGTTCCCATAGATTAAGAGTTCCAGCACCCGTCAAGGCTGCTGAGTCTGCCTTGATGAGTAGGGGGCCTTCCCAAGCTCATCTCAGCATACCTGTGTTTATTTTTTTAATTAAAGATTTTATTTATTTATTTGACAGCTAGAGAAAGCTAGAGAACACAAGCGAGGGTAATGTCAGAGGCAGAGGGAGAAGCAGGCTCACCGATGAGCAGGGAGCCTGACACGGGACTTGATCCCAGGACCCTGGGATCATGACCTGAGCTCAAGGCAGATGCTTAACCAACTGAGCCACCCAGGCACCCCATACCTGTGTTTATGTCACCCACAGTTGCTTGTTTGTAGTGGCTGTAGATGAACAACATCTCATCATCTGCTGGTTTGGTCTTGAGGTGCTTAACATCCTCAGCAGCTTTGTCAAACTCAGCCTAAACATGAGGGAGAGAAAAGGCCTAAATAGAGCTCAGTAATGGGGAGAGACAGGGTGGAAAGGCAGCACTCCTGCGATGCCTGTGAGGAAAAGCAGTGTGTGTTCCCCAACAGGGCAGCCAGAAAGATTCAGCAAAACAAGGAGGGGAAGCACAGGGGTTCACTCGTTCGATGGATAACTATGTACTGGATGCTCTTACCATACCAGGTACCAGGTGCTGGAAACACAATGGTGAAGGAAGCAGGCTAGGAGTGCCTGCAGGAGGCATATACTTCACTGAAAAAGCGTGGTCAACTGCCTGACCACCCCTGGGTCAGGCCGGGGTCTCAGTAAAGCCCTGACTTGCGGATAGGGCTAGCACAGCGTGTTTCAAACAGTTGAGAAGGAGACGGGGTTTGAGTACGGAGGTGTCAGCGACCGGAGCCCGTTGGACTCCCGCCCCCTGGGGCTGGGCGTCCAGCGCTGACCTCTATTTCAGTGTTCTGATTGGAGAGAGGTGAGATGAGTCAGAGGTCAGCCCACACAGCTCAGTCTCCGAAAGGCGACTACATTCGAAGGAGGAAAAAGGCTTCTGGGCCACCTCTCCCCAAGCCCTCCCCTTCCCGCACGTTGGACACTAACCTCCAATGTCCCCTGACCTCTAAGTTGTCAGCCGCGGCTTCCTTGCTTCCCCATTCTGCATGGCGTCCCTACTCCTGCCCTGACCTTCCGGATGGGGAACTCGGTCTCTTTGCTCCTTCAATCCACGGAACCCTCTACCTGCCATCTTTCTACCTAGGACCCTCGCCTCAGACCCCTGTTCCTGCTTCATCGCGAAGTCCACCCCATGGGCAACTTTCTAGCGGTTGCGGGTGGGTAGCAGTGTCCAAACCCTGCAAGTTCCGCTCACGAGGCTCCCTGCAAAGAGTACCTGGGCACGGGTCCAGGAGGCACAGCGGGGCGTGGAAGGGAAAGACCCTGAGGAGTTCTTCCTGGGAGATACACCCCTCCCCCTAGCCTGCAGCCTCGCCGCACCTTCGTTGCCAGGCTAGGCACGCTTTATACCTGAGACATGCTGGCGGGGTTGCGAAGATCCGGAGAACCCGCGGAGACGACGAAGAGCAGGAAACACACGACTCGACTGGCAGCGCCTTTAGAGGTGCAGCCGCAGACGACTCCAACCCCGCCAGGCAGGCAAGAGGCAGCCAATCAGAAGCCAGCTCTACGCTGGGGGCGTGTCCAGCCGCCGCAGCGCCGCCAAACCCCGCCCGAACCCACGTGGGTTTGCTCGCATGCGCGCAGTGAGGAGCCGAAGGGGACGCCGGGAACAGGTGGGGCCCGCGGAGGTCGGGCGTGCTTGCTGGAGGGGGCTTGCAGGGCCGAGTCGGGGTCAGGGTTCGGCTGCTGTGGGGAGTGGACCGCGGGGGCGGAGGAGAGGGGGCGGTGGCCGAAGAGCAGAGACTTCTTCATTCAGTCTTGTGTCTGGAGTGAGGAGCCCGGAAGATGCGCCTCTGTACAAGTAATCTCTCAGGCCTGGGGAGGACGAGTGGGCTCCGCCCCTCACGGGGGACTAGGGCAGTTTGTTAGGGGCTGAGGGAGTTGGAAGTTTACAGTTTTACATGGAAGGTAGGGTAGGGGAAGGTAACATTTGAGAAAGCCTTTTAAGGAGAGGAAGGAGCATTCCAGGCAGAAAATAAGTGTAAAGGTGTGAGCAAAGAGTGGAGGGAAAGAGTAGAAAGAGATGAGGCTGGGGAGTTAAAGAGGTGTCAGACTGGCTAGGTGATGCAGAGCTTGGCCTTTATAAGAGCTATAGGAATTTGGGCTTTTATTTTGAGATGGGAAGCCAGAGGATTTTAAGCGGAGGAGGATGAGACTGAGGGGAGGCACATCTTCGCGAAGTTGTTGTAGAGGCTGATCCTCTCCATGGGAACAGAAAAGAGCAGCGCAGGTGGCTGACAGAATTTGAAGTTGATGAGAATTTTCTGGTGGTTACAAAGCTGGGTGAAGGGAGGGAATTGATGGAAAATTCACTGGAGATCATTTACAAAGATCATTCCTCTCCAATTCCTAATTTGTGTCAAGAGGACTAGACTAGAAATCCTCACACACACACCCCAGCCCCCCCATTTACAGCCACAGGTGTTTAGAAAGAAAGGCCAGGTGAAAGCTTTCAGATGTAACTTCTAACTAGTGGTAGGCCAGCCTTTATAAAATGTTTGGGAAGAAGTGGAGATGCAGTAGCAGGGAACAAATCTAGAGGCTTAAGTCTATGAATAATTTTGGTAGAGAAAGCAAAGCCAAACAAATTAACAAAAAGATTGTAGTTAAATTTGGGGAGATTACATTTGAATCTTAAGAAATAGAGGGTCCCTGGGCGCCTGGGTGGCTCAGATGGTTGAGCGTCTGCCTTCGGCTCAGGTCATGATCTCAGGGTCCTGGGATCGAGTCCCGCATCGGGCTCCCTGCTCCTTGGTAGCCTGCTTCTCTCTCTCTCTCTGTCTCTCATGAATAAATAAATAAAATCTTAAAAAAAAAAAAAAGAAATAGAGGGTCCCCCCCTAACAAAGTGACAGTTCAGAGCTGTCCCCCCCCGCCCCGCCCCGGCACACGTGAAGCCTGGATTCATTTTTGTTCCATCATTTAGTGCTTACAGATTCCTTGATGGAAATTCAGATTATTGTCTGTGTGGGTCAGATTTATAGTCAAATGTATCTTAAAGTCATTAGGTTTTAACACTAGGTTATTGTGTTTAGCACAATAGCACAATTAGGTAACTCTGACAATGTAACTTTGTATTCCTCAAAGATTGGTTGATGTGATTGAGTTTTGTCTGGACACTGTGGAAAGCAAGGCTAGTATTTTAACTTGGCAATCACCAGTTTAAGTGAGGTTGATTTGTTGCTTTCTTATTTGGAATATATTCCACTTTCCTAAAAAACAAACAAAAAAACCCAATTTTCCACATGGTAGTTCTGTGCCCAAGTGAGTCCACAAAAGTTGCCTAATGCAAGTGAAGTATATAACTAGTAAGGATTGTGGGACTCAGGGAGCAGGGTGCTAAGGGGTTTTCCTTGCTACAGGGCCCACCCTAGGCCAAGTTTTGAAATAGCTGAAGGCATGCTCTTTGGCCTGTGTCCTTCTTCCTTCCCTCATTCCTCAGGGACCCATTTTGTGTGATTTCCACCTACTGAAATGTTGCCTTAAGTCCTCCATTTACTGTTTCTATTCAGGCAATTAGAATGGCATTTGTATTTTAAAATGAAGAGCTAACAAGCCAGCATCTGAGATTTAATTTTTTGAAGTAAATTTTAGAGTAAATTTGGGGATCAATAAATTGTATGAATTTTTAATTCCAGATTTCGATAGCATTGGAAAGGAAATAGTTCTTCATATCCCCAGAAAATGCAGGTTCCTCAGCTATGTTTATATCCTTGCTAACAACTAGCACACTTCGTAATAATTTTATTTACAATCACTTTTACTTATTCTTCTGTCTGATTTCTCTCCCCTACATAAGCCGGGGAAAATAGGGATCACCTTGTATTGGTCAGTGCTCTATCTCCAAGTGCCAGGAACTTCTTAGGCACTGAGCAAATGGCAGGTGATGAACAGAGTCCTTTGCTCTCTATGAAATGTATTCATTTTGATTAGCCATGAACTTGGAAACTAAGTTTTTGGAACTGAATGTGCAACTATAGGCTATGGTAAAGTAGATGAATTCTGGTGCAAGGACCATGTAATCTCTTTGTATCACTCCTAGCTGGAAAACAGGACACAAAACAAATATTAAGGGAAGATGGGGAACCTGATGAGCCACCTAATCAGTCTAATTGACCCTCCCCATTTAGTAGAGAGGCTCTTGTCATTGCTGCAACCTGCCCTCACATGCTTGGGGGTGCCAATTTTGACTATTCACAGGCTACACTTGCTGGGTCTCAGTGTAAAGCCAGACGGGCAAGATACATTAACAGGTGAAAGCGGTTCTTGCTCAGTGGGTGTGAATAGTAGTTTTCTTTTTTCCCTATTTATTTATTTATTTTTTGATGTAGTGTTCCATGATTCATTATTTGCGTGTAACACCCAGTGCTCCATTCAATACGTGCCCTCTTTAATACCCATCACCAGACTAACCATCCCCCCACCTCCCCCCAGAACCCTCAGTTTGTTTCTCAGAGTCCATAGTCTCTCATGGTTCATCTCCCCCTCTGATTTCCCCCCCCTTTATTTTTCCTTTCCTACTATCTTTTTTTTTTTTTTTTAACATACAATGTATTTTTTGTTTCAGAGGTACAGGTCTGTGATTCAACTGTCTTACACAATTCACAGCGCTCACCATAGCACATACCCTCCCCAATGTCTATCACCCAGCCTCCCCATCCCTCCCACCCCCAACCACTCCAGCAACCCCCAGTTTGTTTCCTGAGATTAAGAATTCCTCATATCAGTGAGATCATATGATACATGTCTTTCTCTGATTGACTTATTTCACTCAGCATAATACCCTCCAGTTCCATCCACGTCATTGCAAAATGGCAAGATTTCATTCCTTTTGACGGCTGCATAATATTCCATTGTGTGTGTATATATATATACACACCACATCTTCTTTATCCATTCATCTGTTGATGGACATCTTGGCTCTTTCCATAGTTTGGCTATTGTGGACATTGCTGCTATAAACATTGGGGTGCATGTACCCCTTCGGATCACTACATTTGTATTTTTGGGGTAAATACCCAGTAATGCAATTGCTGGGTCGTATGGTAGCTCTATTTTCAACTTCTTGAGGAACCTCCATACTGTTTTCCAGAGTTTTTTAATATTAGGTTTCTTTTTTTTTTTAAATATTTTATTTATTTATTTGACAGAGACACAGCAAGAGAGGGAACACAAGTAGGGGGAGTGGGAGAGGGAGAAGCAGGCCTCCCCATGGAGCAGGGAGCCCGATCCCAGGACCCTGGGATCATGAGCCGAGCCGAGCCGAAGGCAGACGCCTAATGACTGAGCCACCCAGGCGTCCTAATACTAGGTTTCTTGATTAAACTAAACGTCTAATTTCTAAAAGCAACCTAATCATTAAAAAAAATGGACTACAGTTGCAGTAAAGCTTTACTAGAAGGCAGGGGCTAGAGTACTCACAAATGATGAATTATATCCCTTTGGTATTTATTTTCACTTCTTGGAATGTGATTCTTGAGGCATGGCTCAAGCAAAGGTGAGAGATTAGTGTGTTTTAAAGGGAAGGAAGCTCTTGGCAAATGCTTCTGGGATAGTAGGTGGGCAGAGTTGGGGGTGTTTGTGAAGGTGGAGGGGGGTAAGAGCTGAGATGAGATAAGAATGTAGTCCCCCCCCCCCCCCCGCCCTTCTTTTCGATTCCTCTGTCTCTTTAACTTTTCTGATGGCATAACTCCTCTTCTAGAGGCTGGGCAGCTGCAAGTCTTAACCAACCCCTCCCGCCTGCCATCCTCTTGTTCCTTTGGGTATTTATATTCAGAGGAATTGCAGCAAGCTGGATGTGAGAGAAGTGTGTGTGTGACCTGTATGTGTACGATTTGCTCCTTTCCTGAGTCCTGTTTCCAGCTAACATGGCGGGGTGGTGGTTTGGGCTGAGGTGAGACTTGGATACCAGGGCTTGGGAGCAGGGGGTTGTGGGGAAGTGTCCTACACTGGCTGGGAGTAAGGAAGGAGAGAAGACTTTCTTTTTTTTTTATTTTTTTTTATTTTTTTAAGATTTTATGTATTTGACACAGAGCACAAGCAGAAGGAGCAGCAGGCAGAGGGACAGGGAGAAGCAGGCTTCCTGCTGAGCAAGGAGGCCAATGCTGGGCTCGATCCCAGGACCCTGAGGTCATGACCTGAGCCGAAGATAGATGTTTCCCCGACTGGGCCACCCAGGCGCCCCGAGAGAGGACTTTCTGAAGACTTAACTTAAACATAAGTAAAGATAAACACTGCTGAGACAAAACTCCTGTATCCTGTTTGGAAATACTTACGATTATGGACAGGAGTAATGAAGCACCTTAGGAAGATAGCTTGAGTTCAGTACCGTAGTTCTTATTCAACCTCATTGGAAGTATAAACTCTTCTAAATCTGCTTTCATTTTGCCTGTTTCCCTAGCTCCTAGTTGCACATGACAGACCCTTGGTAAATGCTTTAGAACTAGGTTGTTAGGTGAATTTTCTAGTGAGCTTTTTTATTGCCCATCAACAAGAAAATTAGAAATATTAAAGTCTGATGATAGGTGTTTTGGCTGATAATACCTTTAGAGACGATGCCATTTTAAAAAACTTTATTTTTGAGGTGATGCACTAAAACAAACAAACAAAAACCCTAATTTTTATTTTGAGGCAATTGTAGGTTCACATGGAGTTGTTAAGTAACACGCAGATCCCTTACACCCTTTACACATTTCTCCCAGTGGTAACATCGTGCAAAACTATAATACATACCACAATCAGTACATTAACAATGAAATATTTAAGATACAGAACATTTCCATTATCAAGAAGCCCTTGTGTTATCCTTTGATAAGGAAATCTATGTGATTTAAAAAGTTAGAGCTTTTGCAACTTTATTACTGGTTACATAAATTTGGCCATTATAATGTGCAAGCAATTGGAAAAAATGTCAAGTAAATGCTTGTTTTTATAGCAGTCCTCATTAAAAATATTCATATGATAATGTCTGTAAACAGCATCACTTTGATTAAGTAGATGTAGTGTTGTGATAAATTGTTTAATGGGGGAAAAGCTTTCCATTATTGAGTCTGATGTTAGCTGTGGGTTTGTTATATATGGTCTTTATTATGTCTATCCTCTTCACTGAGAGTTTTTGCTATAAATAGATGTTGAATTTTGTTAAATGCTTTTTCTACATCCATCAAGATGACCATGATTTTATCCTTCAATTTGTTAATTTGGTGTATCACATCGATTGATTTGTGGATGTTAAACTATACTGGCATGCCTGGAATAAATCCCACTTGATTGTGGTGTACGGTCTTTTAATGTATTGTTGAATTGGGTTTGTTAATATTTTGTTTGGGATTTTTGCATGTGTATTCATCAGGGATGTTGGCCTGTAATTTTCTTTTTTGGTGGTATCTGTCTGGTTTTGGTATCAGGGTGATGCTGGCTTTGTAAAATGATTTTGGAAATATTCCATCCTTTTCAGTTTTTTAGAATAATTTGAGAAGGATGGGTACTAACTCTTCTTTAAATGTTTGGTAGAATTCATCTCTGAAGCCATCTGTCTCTGGACTTCTGTTTTTTGGGAGTTTTAAAATTACTGGTTCAGTTTCATTACTTGTAATCAGTCTATTCATATTTTATATTGCTTCGTGATTCAGTCTTGGAAGGTTGTGTGTTTCTAGGAATTTATCCATTTCTTCTAGGTTTTCCAGTTCGTTGGCATATAATTGTTCAAAGTACTCTCTTTGATCCTTTGTATTTCTGTGGTGTCATTTGTAAGTTCTCTTTCATTTCTGAGTTTATTTGGATCCTCTCTGTTTTTTTTTGTTGAGTTGGTCTAGCTAAAAGTTTGATCTTGTTTATCTTTTCAAAGAGTCAGATTTTTTTTTTTTTTAAGAATTTATTTATTTATTTGACAGAGAGAGACACAGCCTGAGAGGGAACACAAGCAGGGGGAGTGGGAGAGGGAGAAGCAGGCTTCCCGCGGAGCATGGAGCCCGATGTGGGACTCAATCCCAGGACCCTGGGATCATGACCTGAGCCGAAGGTGGACGCTTAACGACTGAGCCACCCAGGCGCCCAAAGAGCCAGATTTTTAGTTTTGTTGATCTTTTCTATTTTTTTTTTGTTGCTATTTATTTATTTCTGCTCTGATCCTTATTATGTCCTACTAAATTTGGGCTTTGTTCTTTTTCTCGTTCCTTTAGGTTGAAAGACCGTTTATTTGGGATTTTTCTTGTTTCTTGAGATAGGCCTGCATTGCTATGAAGTTCCCTTTTAGAACTGCCTTTGCTGCATCTCATAGATTTTGGAAGGTTATGTTTCCATTTGCATGTGTTTCAGGTATTTTTTAAAATTTCTTTTTGATTTCTTTGTTTGACCCATTGGTTATTTAGTCTCCATGTGTTTGTGTTTTTTCCAGTTTTCTTTTTGTGATTGATTTCTAGTTTCATACTGTCGTGGTCAGAAAAGATTCTTGATATGATTTTAGTCTTCTTGAATTTATGGAGACTTGTTTTTTGGGCCAACATGTGATCGATCCTAGAGAATGTTTCCTATGCACTTGAAGAGAATGTATATTCTGCCTTTGGATGAAATGTTCTATATGTATCTATTTAGTCCATCTGGCCTAATGTGTTGTTTAAGGCCAGTGTTTCCTTATTGGTTTTTTTCCTCTGGATGATATATTCATTAATGTAAGTGGGGTATTAAAGTCTCCTACTATTCGGTATTATTGTCGATTTCTCCCTTTATGTCTGTTAATATTTGCTTTATATATTTAGCGGCTCCTATATTGATTGGGTGCATAAATACTTATGAGTGTTATATCCTCCTGTTGGATTGACCCCTTCATCATTATGTGTAATATTCCTCTTTGTCTTTTGTTACAGTCTTTGTTTTAAATTCTTTTGTCTGATGTGTATTGCTACTCCAGCTTTCTTTTCATTTCCGTTTGCATGGAATATCTTTTTCTATTCCTTCACTTTCATTCTGTGTGTCTTTATTTTTTTTTTTAAAGATTTTATTTTATTTATTCAACAGAGAGAACGCGAGAGAGGGAACACAAGCAGGGGGAGTGGGAGAGGGAGGAGCAGGCTTCCCGCGGAGCAGGGAGCCCGATGTGGGGCTCCATCCCAGGACCCTGGGATCATGACCTGAGCCTAAGGCAGAGGCTTAACGACTGAGCCACCCAGGCGCCCCTCATTGTGATTTTAATTTGCATTTCCTAATGGCTAATGATGTTGAACATCTTTTCATGTGCTTATTTGCCATCTGTATATCTCTTCTGTGAAATGTCTCTTTGTGTCTTTGTACATATTTTAATTGTATTTTTTCAATGTTGAGTTTTGAGAGTTCTTTATGTATTTTGGGTACTAGACCTTTGTTGGCGAATATTTTCTCACTGTTTTTAGCTTGTCTTTTCATCCTTTCACAGAGTCTTTCATAGAGCATAAGTTTTTAATTTTGACTGAAATCCAGCTTACCCATTTTTTCCTTTTATGGATTGGATTTGGCATCTAATAACTCTTTACCTAGTTCTATATCCTGAAGATTTTCTCCTATTTTTTAAAAAGTTTTATAGTTTTGCATTTAGTAAATGCAAATAATACAAATAACGTAATTTTTGTATATGGTATAAGATTTGGGTTGAGGTTCCTTATTTTTTTCAAGGGTTTAAGTTCCAATAACACACAGTGTGATATTAGTTTCAGATGTAGAATTTAGTGATTCATCACTTACATACAACACCCAGTGCTCATCACAGCAAGTGCACCCCTTAACTCATCCCCACCCCCCACTTGAGGTTCTTTTCTTTTTTTTTTTCCTCCTGATGTCTAATTGCTTCAGCACCTTGTTGAAAAAATATCTTTCCTCCATTGAACTGCTTTTTACCTTTATCAGTAATCTGTTGGGCATATTTATGTGGTCTTTTTTTGGGTTTTCTCTCTGTTCTGTTGATATATGCATCTATTCCTCCATTAATACCGCAAAGACCTGATTACTGTAGCTATGTAATAAATCTTGAAATTGGGTAAACAGATTCCTCCAACTTTATTCCTCTTTTTCAAAATTGTTCTAGCTATTCTAGTTCCTTCATTTTTCCATATAAATTTTGTAATGTCTATGTCTACAAAAAAATCTTTTTGTGATTTTGATAGGAATTGCATTAAATTTGTATATCAGTGTGGGGAGAATTGATTTATTTACTCTCAGGTCTTCTAATATATGAACTCCATATGTTTTAACTTTTATTTTGATCTTCTTTAATGTATTTGATCATCAGTTTGTACTTTTTAGCATATAAGTCCTGTACGTGTTTTGTTAGATTTATGCTTGTTTTTGAGTGATTGCAAATGATATAGTATTTTTAATTGTGTGCACGTGTTCATTGCTAGTATATAGAAATACAATTGGTTTTTATATGTTTGTCTTGCATCTGTTACTTTGCTGAACTCACTTATTCTAAAAGCTTTTTTTCTTGTAGATTCCTTTGGATTTTCTCTATAGATAATCATGTCATCTGCAAATAGGTACAGTTTTATTTCTGATTTATGTGTCTTTTATTTCCTTTTTTGGAAATAAATTCCTTTCCTATTTTCCTTTTCCTTTGTCTTATTGCACTGGCTAGAACTTCCAGGATTGTGTGGAATAAGAGTGATGAGAGAGGAAAAGAAGTGATGAGAGTAGATATCTTTGTCTTGTTTCTCATCTTAAGGGAAAGGCATTTAGTCTTTCACCATTAAATATTTTGATAGCTGTGGATTTTTTTTGTAGATGTGCTTTATCAAGTTGAGATAGTCCCCCTCTATTCCTATTTTTCTGGGAGTTCTTATTGTAACTGGATGTAGAAATTTGTCATATGCTTTTTTTTTTTACCTTGATTGATGTGATTATGTGATTTTTCTTCTTTGGCCTTCTAATGTGGCAGATTACATTGATTACTTTTCAATTATTGAACTAGCTTTGCTTCCTTGGAAGAAACCCCACTTGGTCATGACTTATAATTCTTTGTATATATTGCTGAATTCTGTTTGCTAATATTTTAAGGGTATTTATATCTGTATTCATAAGGCATATAGGTCTGTAGTCTAGAAGGGTTCTGTCACCCATAACAAGTCTGGCTGGTGAGTGATCCTGACCCGAATGCCCTGCACTGCAAGGTGGTGGTACTGATCACTGTAGCTAAAACAGGAGACAGATTTCATACCACCTTTTCTTTTCTTTTTTTTTTTTTTAAAGATTTTATTTATTTATTTGAGAGAGAGAGAGCACATGAGAGGGGGGAGGGTCAGAGGCAGAAGCAGGCTCCCATGCCGAGCAGGGAGCCCGATGCGGGACTCGATCCAGGGACTCCAGGATCATGACCTGAGCCGAAGGTAGTCGCTTAACCAACTGAGCCACCCAGGCGCCCTCATACCACCTTTTCTAATTGGAGGTCTCATTGTAGGGAAAACTACCCATAGGGTACACTTGAAGTAAGGAGCCAGTTAATCTTTCTAGAAGCTCCCCCTGAGTAATTAAGATTAGTTTTGGAGTGATTGCCACTGTTGGTCTGCTTGTTGGTATCCAAGAGCTTGCTCATGATGTTTTTAAAAACATCTGCAAGACTAAGATGCAAATAACAGTGTTTTAGGGAGGGAGGCAAGTTAATACTGACTTCCACAGGGAAAAAAAAAAAAACAACACAGGCCTGGGGGTGCACATGGTGTCCTTGGAAAGAAATTGCTTTACAGTGTATGACTGGGACCCATGTGGCTCAGAGGGCACAAGGCATCAAGGCCTCCAGTATAACCTTTGGCCAGCTGGTAGGCATTAGGGTTCTCACTTGAGTACACATCATTGCATTTGGAACTTATTTTTGGAGGGACTGCCTGAGGGCAGTCAGTCTGGTCTGTCTTGTTTGTCTGTGCCACTAGCTGAGTGACATTTGTTTGTCCCATGGCGTGGCTGTGGGAAGGGGGTGGCGTGCGGCAGTGAAGAAGACACCTGGAAATGTTGACAGGTGTTTTGCATGGGAGGCATAGGAGCTGGGATATGTGTTTCTGATAGACAGTTCTGGTAATGGTGATCCTATTGTGGTCAGAGCCATCTTTCAGGACTTGGCAGATTCAGGTGTCAGTAAATTGGAGGTGCTTAGAATAGTTTGGGGGCAATTCAGCAGGGTGTTTTGCTTCATGAGGACTTTTGTAGGGGCAGGTAGTTTTCAAGACAGATCTCTAATGAGCGAGCGATCCTTCCCACCCACATCTCCTGGGGTATAAGTTGTTCTCTGTGTAGATGCCTTAGATGCTGAGGTTATTTCCTTCCCTCCACCTCTACAAAAATCTGTATGTCTCATTCTGCTAGCTATAACTTTACCTTTCTTCTAATTAGCTCCTATTCCCTGAAGATATATTTTTTAAAGATTTTATTTTTAAGTAATCTCTACACCCAACATGGGGCTTGAACTCACGACCCCAAGATCAGGAGTCACACATTCCACTGACTGAGCCAGCCAGCACCAATCCCCACTGCCAGCCCCCAAAGGGAATTTTTGTAAAACTCATAGGGGCCCCCCATATAAAACTCATTATGTCCCCCACTTTGGCCTGCAGTGTATTTGAGTGGTCATTATGCTTGTGATCTAGGACCTGGTCAGTTCAACAAGAGAATCCAGAATTCAAATTCCCTAAGCCCCTTTTGGCTTCTTGTCACATGGAGGGTGTAGCAATTGGGCTGGCAGGGGGGTTTCTGTAGAGGAAAGAAAGAAGCATTATACAAAGGAATGGCCAGGGTGGAATCCCAGGATTTCACATTGGTCTGTATAAGCGCCCCTCCCCTGCCTCAATTTTGTGTGTTCGCATCGTTACCCGGGAAATGGCTGCGAGAGGCCAGTCCTTTTCTGGGGGTGGCCACATTCAGTGCATAGACTGCTGCCCCATGTTATGTGCTCCCGGAGGTTGGGCAGGTCGGCTGAGAAATCTTTTCAAGTTGATTTTTCAGGAGGCTTTTTCAATGCGTCATGACGCCAGATGGCTGTGGGTGGTGGAGTGGAAAGTCTATGGAATACCTCGACTTTTAGCCCATTGTTCCTTAGTGTTGATGATAAAAGATGAACCATGGTCAGACTGCAAATAGGATGGAAAACCAAACACACGGCGCAGGTTCATTTCAAGGGTCACGGTGGCGTGACCAGAGTCAGGTGATTTGCAACATTAATACTGAAACCTGGAAAAAACTGCCATCGGGAGTGTGGAGTCTTGAGAGGAGGTCAAAGGTCAAATGTCATCCATCTGCTGGGAGCAGGGGTGAGGGTTGGGCAGCAGTGTGTGCCATGTGGCCTCCCTCACTGCAGGACCAAC